CACATCTTCCGGCTGCACATCCACCTCAGCCATCTCCACCTCGTGTTCTTCGCACGGATCTTCTTATGCGGAGGTCTGAACAGAAGTCCTGGGTGATCCAGGGTTCTCGTCCTTTCCCCTCCTCCTCTTCCTCTCCTTTTTTGTTTTTAAGCGTTCCATTGCTGTCTCAAAACCACCACTCCTAGCGGTTCCATCGAACGGGCATGCCCGCATCACCAGAGACATGACCTAGTAGTGTCCCCGAGTTCCCTCGGGGAGTCGGCTTATACCTCGGGCCGAGGGATGGACAATCTCGGTACAGGGTTCAGGCTCCCTACACCTGCCCCGACCCCCATTGCTGGGAGCCGGGCCGGTTTCGGGGGCCCCTGGCCTCCGACATCCAGGGCACCTCTAGGAGCGCAGCCACGCGGAGGGCCCGTGGAAGAAGTTAGGTCACCGGTGTCGCAACCCACCAGACCGCTCCCTCACGGCAACCAGCACTGAGCACGCCGCCCGGGGGCACGGCTTTGGGATGATGCGATCGCCGTCCCTCGGGCACTACTCTTGGGGTGCCCCGGCCCCAACCTCGGAATACGTCCGAGCGGCCCGGAGCACCCCCGCCACACCCGGGTACCATGGGGGTTACTAACCCCACGGTGTGCAGACCCGAGTGCGGCTCGTCCCCTCTGGCTGCTGGAGCACCGGCGTGCAATGCTGGAGATGTGGGGTCCCACACTCGCTCAAAACGTGTCAGTCCGGCCGACAGCCATACCTACCTAACTACCCATCGGAATACTCTTGGCAGGCGATTTTCCTCACCCGGCTCTCCCTTCGGTTGAACCGAAGGTATTGCCCAGGTGGATCACAGGTATACCTGTGCCCCTCCACTACGACAAGGTGGCATCCCATGGAGGGAGGAGGGCTCTTGTGGTCCCTTTCTCCACCCGGTGACCAGCTCCCCAGCATAGTCAACGGCGCTTTCGGAGTGTGCCCCGATGCACGACGACCTTTGCCTGACAAATCAGGTCGCCCGCTCCTTGCGAGTCCCCCGTTGCCGACTATCTCCAGCCGCCGCGCACTAGGGTACTCCCACCCCGATGGATCACCCCCAGATGTGCTCCGTGTGTTGCGCTGAAGATTGTTTGGGGGGTAGACCTCGTCCATCCCACACGCAACCCATGCGCCACCAAACACACGCCGTTAGGCGTATATCAGCCAAACTGCTTCCAGATGCGGTATCGTGTGTGCCGTATACACCCCATACAGGACCGGTTGAGGTGCAGGGTCAGGCTAAGCCCTCCATCTACGGGAGTCTTCCGGTCCCGCGGTAATGCATCCGGGAGGCTCCGTCACCGCTGCCGCAACCACGCTACCGCCCCCTCCCCCTCGGGTTGACCATCCGGGCATTCGGCCCGCCCGCAGCTGGGGCGGTCGACCGTCAAGGTGGGTCACTGCAGCATCGACTCCCAACGGTGGCATGTCTCCACGACCCATACACCCGTCCACAGCCGGCCGGTACCTCGTGATACTGGGACACCGATGAGTGCATCCCCGAGTTTTCTCAGGTCATTGTCCACCCAGCGCCCAGAAAAGAACCCTCCTTCAGAGAGCGAGCTGACGCATCTGGCCCTAGCGTCCTTCCCGGCACTGCGGCGTTGACGGCCTCAGCCGCCACCGTCACAGCCCCAACTCATTGAGGATGCCGCATCATTACTAGCCCCTCGTCCGGAACTCCCCTCCCTCCCCTCACACATATTCATACTGCATGGCTAAGCCATCCCACACCCCTGAGGAGCCCGCACCGTCCCCCGAGGGCACCTCTGCTTCCACCATTGAGCGAACTCCTCGAGTGTCGAAGGGCCTCGGCCTGACGGATCAGTGAGTGCATGACAGCGCTTGCCTACTGTTGCCGACTATCCTCCGTCCCCCGACACCCAAAGGTTCCCCCAGCCTCCAAGGGCATTGGCCTGACGGATCAGGGGGTGCACAACAGCGCTTGCTCCCCGTTGCCGACTATCCGCCGCACAGTGGGACGAAAACCCAAAAACGTGGCTAAAAGTTCAAAAATAAAGTTTCAAATAGAAAATTTTGAATCATTCAGTTGCATACCTTAATAGTCTAGGTACTAAATACCAAATATATAAAGGCCCGTTTGCCTCTACATGAGCTGCCAGATGAGTATGAAAGTAGCGCTCGTTCAGTCAGCACAAAGCAATGAGAGATACGCGAAAAACGACGCTTACTTTGGAAGACTGCCATTTTGTTAAAAATAACACGAATTGAATTCTGCAAAATGGAAACTACTGTGGCAAGTAAGTAGATATTTTTACATATTTCATATGTATCCTTATGGGAATTATTACTATATTAATTCACAAATACGTTGTTCATGAAAAAGTAGAAAAATATCTCAAAAATATATGAAACATTAATGAAAACAATTATGATTTGAGGCGATTTGAGGTATGAGACTTACGAGGGTGGTCCGATAAGTACTTAGCCTACAAAAGAAAAACGAAAATTTTGGAAAAGTGGCGATTTATTTCTCAACATAGTCTCCTTTTAGTTCGATACACTTGACCCAGAGATGCTCCAACTTCTTTAACTCATCTGAAAAATACGTTTTCTCGAGGTCTGCAAAGTAGGCCTCCGTGGCGGCGATGACCTCCTCATTCGACTCAAATTTCTGCCCGGCGAGTGACTTTTTCAAGTTTGGAAACAAAAAGAAGTCGCACGGGGCCAAATCTGGAGAATACGGTGGATGCGGAAGCAGTTCGAAGTTCAACTCATGCAATTTGGCCATCGTTACCATCGACTTGTGACACGGTGTAGCGTCACTAAAACCACTGTAACTTAATGACACAATGTCGGAATGTCATGAAAATTTGACACGTAACTTCTAAAGGTTGGTACTAACTGAGAATGGTATGGATTTGTTATTAGAGGCGCCATTTGTTAGTTAGTCCCGGGACTTATTGATCGATGTGTTATACGAGGGCAATTTGATAAGTCAGTGACTTTTTGAATTTTCCGCGCAGTAACTTTAAATGCAGCACTGCTCCCGTCAACTGTCATCTATTAATAGACTACTGTGCAAGTTTGGGCAAGCTGCACCATTTAGTTAGTGTTTGACAGCCATTGAAAGCAGACAACCTCGTAAATTTTAACGAAAATGGAAAAAAGTGAATTTCGTGTGCTGATTAAGCATTATTTTTTGCGTAAAAAAACCATCACGGAAACCAAGGCAAAGCTTGATAAATACTATGGGGACTCTGCACCATCAATTTCAATGGTTAAGAAGTGGTTTACTGAGTTCCGTTGTGGTCGTACCAGCACAAGTGACGCCGAACGTTCAGGTCGCCCAAAAGAGGTCGTCACGCCAGAAATCGTCGATAAAATCCATGGAATGATATTGGACGATCGGAGAATGAAAGTGCGTGAAGTGGCTGAGGCTGTAGGCATCTCAACTGAGCGGATACATCACATTTTACATGAATATTTGGACATGAAAAGCTATCCGCCCGATGGGTGCCGCGATTGCTCATACTCGACCATAAGCGCAACCATGTGACCATTTCAAAGGAGTGTTTGGCGATGTTCAGCCGCAATCCGAACGAGTTTTTGCGCCGTTTCGTTACCGTAGACGAAACATAGATCCATCACACCACACCAGAGACCAAGGAACAATCAAGACAGTGGGTTTCTTCGGGTGAACGTGCACCAAAGAAGGCCAAGGTGGGTCTGTCGGCCAACAAGGTCATGGCCACAGTTTTTTGGGATGCACGAGGTATCATTCACATCGATTACCTTGAAAAGGGTAAAACGATCACCGGCGAATATTATTCAGAGCTTTTGGACAGATTCGATATTGATTTGAAGCAAAAACGACCGCATTTGACGAAGAAAAAAGTGTTGTTCCATCAGGACAATGCACGGGTATACACGTGTGTAGTCACCATGGCAAAAATCCATAAATTGGGCTACGAACTGCTACCCCATGCAACATATTCACCAGATTTAGCCCCCTGCGACTATTTCCTGTTTCCAAACCTGAAGAAATGGCTGGGCGGTAAGAGATTTGGATCGAATGAAGAGGTCATCACTGAAACAAACGCCTATTTTGAGGGCCTTGAGAAAACCTATTATTTGGAAGGAATAAAAAAATAGAAATGTAGCAGTCTAAAGATTAATAAAAAGGATAATGTGATCAAGAATCACAAATTTTTTAAGATGATTTTAATAGATAAAAAAATTAAAGTACTTATATTGTATTATCGTACATTCGGATATTATCGAACACTTCGCTTGTCGTCAATAACTCTTTCATATCCAGATTTTCAAACTCGCTTGTATCCCAGCTTCTCTCTTCCACATACTCTTGTTCTACAGCTTTTGTAGTCATCAGTTTAATATGTAATATCTCTAATAAATATTAAAATTTCTAATAATTTCTAATAATAAATTCTAATAATAATAATAATTTCTAATAATAAAATTTCTAATAAATATTAAAATTAAAATCTCTAATAAATATTAAAATTATTATGTATTTGACGCTATTTTTATATTATATTTTAAACGCTACAATATTATATTTTAAACGTTTGAAAACGCTATTAAATATAAGCTATATATTTCTTACTTGATTACGATGTGTACTACGTCACGATATGTAAACGACTATTTCGTATTTGTTAATTTCCGTTTCTATGGAATTCAATTTCGTTTATCATATTTCATAAAAATATATAAATGCATCAATGCGATATAATCGACCGATATTAATCGATTGATTATATCGCATTTATACAAACATACCTTAATAGCACAAATGTCCAGAGTATGTCTTGAGGACGTCCTGTGGACGTTTCTTCATCCTCAGGACGTCCTTAAGACATCCCTAGGAGAACATGTGCTGTCTGGGTATATTCTTATGAAAATAATGATACGTAAAATAGGATTATGTACATAAAATACGATTTTGAAAAAGTGTTGCTCTCAAACAGGTTAAAAATACCTATAGCGACATACCTATAGTCAAAAAATAATTCTTCACCAGGTTAAATCGCTCTCTTAGCAAAAATACCTATTCTATGATCACTGTTCACCATCATCACTTTCGCATAACAATTTGGATTTATCGAGTGATTAGCGAACTTTATTTTATTCCCTTTCCGTGTCGTGTCTACAACAAAATCTGAAACCGACCAAAAACTTTTAATTTTTATTATTTTTCAACATTTAATTAACCACTATATCTATCTTTACTTACCATTGTTAAGATTAAAAAGGAAACTACACATATATTCATCATATACTTTTCCTCTCTTGTCAGCTTCGTCTTGACTGATAATTTCGCCGCAATATTCCGAGATGAATTCATTCTTCGCTGCTGATCTTTCAAATTGTATAAAATATATTTCAAATAAAAAATTCTACTCATTGAGATTATACTAATTTTCACTCTAATAAATTAAATTTTTCGAAACTTATAAAGACCACGTTGCACGCTGACATTTTTGCAAGATTTAGAATTGATCTGGAAATGATCTGCACCATACGTTTGGCAAAGATCCGGATCTCATTCCCTGACAGCCAGATAACAAGGACACTGCTTTGTATTGCATTGCGCCTACACTCAGGAAATCTGTTCTGGCATTCGTTGCTGCACTGATAAAACTTCTCGCAGAAGTTTTATGCTTGTATACATGGGCATGAATTATCACACTGACAGCCGGGATAATCACAAGGTGCAAAATTGTGCACGTGATTAGCACATATTCATTCAAATTCTGAAGAGAAAAACTTCGGAGGAAACAAGGATAATATCAGATAAGTAACAATATCGTTGAATACACATAAAAAATATGTAAAGAAGAATTTGTATGCTTTGTGTCGTTTTTACTTTTTACAGTTATTAAAACATAACAGAGAAAGGAAGAAGAGAAAAGGGAAAGAAAGAGAAAAAGAACAGAATGCGAGAAGAATCAAAAAGGATCAGACACAAAAAAAATGTCAATGAGTGACTATAGTATTTACATAGTACTTATTTGCATCAATGGGATACGCACTTGCTCAGCAGCGCTTCACTTCTTACGAAAATGTACGAAAATGGCTCGATGACTGGTTTGCCTTAAAAGAGCAACAGTTTTTTTGGCGTGGCATCCACAAATTGTCAGACAGATGGGAAAAATGTATAGTTAGCGATGGGTAATACTTCGAATAAAATATTTTTTATCATTTTTATACAATAAACGTGTATTTTCTATACAAAAATTCCGGTTTCATATTTACATAGCTGGTAAAAGCATAAGAATATATAGTATATATGTATATGTGTACATTGGCTAGGTTAGTCTGATTTGTTAGTATTCGCTGGTAATTGGTTCAGCTTGGCCCGTTTCAATTAGTTCTGTTCTTAACCCATTAACGCCCAAAAGTGCTATTAGGTGAATCGGAAAGTTCCGTCCGTTTAGCAACAAGTAGCTACAGCTAGAACTGTCGTTAACCTCTAAACGAAGCTTAATAGTTTGTTTTGATATCTGTCAGTAACATTCAGTACATAAAAGTATACGTTTGCATCAATAACATTGTTTTTCACTGTATCGAAAATGTCGAAATTTGAGCCAAATAAGCGTCATTTGTGCGAGGTGTTAATCTTTTGCTTCAGTTCAGGAAGTTTCAGGAAGTAAACTGCAGCTGAAGCTCATCGAAAGCTTGTAGAAGTTTATGATGATAATGCTCCTTCCGATAAAACATGCAGAGAATGGTTTCGACGCTTTAAAATTTTGATGTTTTTGGTGATTTTAATGTAGAGGACAAAGAGCGTTCTGGACGGCCAAGAGTATTCGAAGACAAAGAATTGCAGGCATTGGTGGACGAAGACCCATGTCAAACGCAAAAGCAACTTGCAGAAACATTAAATTGTGCTCAATCTGTCATTCCTGATCGTTTGAAAGCCTTAGGAAAGGTTTACAAGGAAGACAAATGAGTCCCATATAAACTGAAACCAAGAGACATTGAAAGGCGAAAAACTACCTGCGAAATTCTGCTCACTAGGCAGCAGAGAAAGGGGTTTTCACATTGTATCATCACTGGGGATGAAAAATGGATTTATTTTGACAACTCCAAACGTCGAAAAACTATTTGCTATCCCAACCAACCCTCAACATCGACGCCAAAATGGAATATCCACGGAAAGAAGGCAACGCTCTGTATTTGGGATCAGAAGGGTGTGCTGTACCATGAACTATTGAAAAGTGGTCAAACAGTCAGAGGGGATCTCTACAGAGAACAAATGATCCATTTGAGCTGAGCATTGCACGAAAAACGACAATATAAAATGAGACAGCATAAAGTGATATTGCTTCATGACAACGCTCGGCTTCACGTCACAAAATCTGTCAAGGAAACGTTAGAAGCACTTCGCTGGGAAGTGTTACCCCATGCGGCTTATTCACCAGACTATGCCCCTTCCGACTACCACTTATTTCGGTCGATGGCACACGCACTTGCTGAGGAATGCTTCAATTCTTATGAAAACGTCGAAAAATGGGTCTCTGACTGGATAGCCTCCAAAGATGAGTCATTCTTTCGCCGCGGAATTCGCTTGCTGACCGAAAGATGGGAAAAAGTCATCGCTAGCGATGGACAATATTTTGATTGATGCATTTTTTCATTTTGTTTCTTAAATAAAGCCATACGTTGTGCAAGAAAACGGACGAAACTTTCCGATTGACCTAATAAAATATTAGCCTTACTGTGCAACTGTATTTATGTAGAGAAACATATTATAAGGTTGGAATAGCATTTCCTTGTTTTCAGGGTCGTTCTACAAGATTCCGGCATCAGAATTTGTTTAGATTCACTATAAAATCCAATATGTTTTTTATAAAGTTTGTAAATTTACAATTACCGACTCTGTATATGTGCGTGTGTACGTCTCGAAAATCATTCATGAATATGAAAATAATAGAAGAAAATTCATGAAAACCTAGAAATTTTCACGATTATTCGTGCCTTTTAATCGCCATCTTGGATCCGCCATTTCGAAATTCTCTAATATGAATTAGTTGTCAGCAAATATCCTAAAATCAGTACCCTGGATACTAAATTAATGCCAAATATCAGGTGTAGTAAAAAGAAATCCATTATTTTTCCAATAGATGGCTTTAGTTATCTGTATTTCGCGTTGTATAAGTCCGATTTTCCGGGTTTCACTAGATGGCGTTAGAAAGATGAGATTTCGTACTAAAAAAACTTTCCTGACAGTTTTGTGATTAGTTGACTCAGTTTTGTTTGAGCGCACGTCAAAGATGGACACTAGCAACGAGAAAATACGCTATATTTTACAGTTTTTCTTCGATAAAGGCGAAAACGCAAACCAGGCGGCTGAAAATGTGAATAGTGTTTATGGTCCTGATACTGTAACAGCCAATCACGCGCAATTTTAGTTTCGTCGATTCCGTTCCAGTAATTTCGATGTCAAAGATGCACCACGCACTGGAAGGCCAATTGTCGAAAATATCGATAAAATGATGGACATTGTCGAGTCCGACCGTCATGTAAGCACTTTTTCGATTGCCCAAGAGCTAAAGATTGCACAAAAAACAGTTTGGAACCATTTGAATAAGGCTGGATACAAAAAGAAGCTCGATGTATGGGTGCCACACGAGTTAACGAAAAAAAACCTCATGGACCGAATTTCCATCTGCGAATCGCTGCTGAATCGCAACAAAATCGACCCATTTCTGAAGCGGTTGGTCACTGGTAATGAAAAGTGGATCACTTACGACAACGTCAAGCGAAAACGTCGAATCGCGGTGAGCCGGCGGAAACGGTGGCCAAGCCAGGATTGACGGCCAGGAAGGTTTTGCTGTGTGTTTGGTGGGATTGGCAGGGAATTATCTACTATGAGCTGCTCCCCTATGGCAAAACTCTTAACTCGGAACTGTACTGTCAACAATTGGACCGTCTGAAGGAAGCAATCGCCCAGAAGCGGCCAGCTTTGGCCAATAGGAGAGGAATTGTGTTCCATCAGGACAACGCCAGGCCACACACATCGATAGTGACTCGCCAGAAGCTCCGGGAGCTTGGTTGGGAGGTTCTTATGCATCCACCTTATAGTCCAGACCTGGCACCAAGTGATTACCATCTAATTTCCTGTCCATGGCGAACAATTTTGCTGGTGAAAAATTCGCTTCAAGAGAGGCTTGTGAAAATCGACTGTCTCAATTTTTTGCCAATAGGGACGAGGACTTCTATGAGAGAGGCATAATGAAATTACCTTCAAAATGGCAACAAGTTATCGAACAAAACGGCGCATATTTGACCTAAATCGGATCATTCTAACTATGGTAATTAAAGCCTTCAATTTCATGCAAAAATAATGGATTTCTTTTTACTACACCTGATACTAGGATTTTGCGACGTTATTCTAAAAATACATTATTTTTTAAGTTTTTCCGCTCAAACCCTCATTTTGAAGCAGTCATCTTGAATTCACATTTTCACCAATGCATATCTTGGAAGTTCAACATTTTTGAGACAAGATATGACACTTGTATTTGTATCAAAGTAACGTTTTTGATACTAAATCAAGCTTAAAAGAAATAAAATTGTCGATGTTTCACGACTTTTTTCCAAAAATTCCGCCATATCGGATTGTTACGTCCTGCGGACTCGCGCACTCTAGACTCCTTTTATAAATAAAGAAAATTGAATTTATTATTATTTATTATATGGCTGAATGCGCTCAGGCATGTTTTATCACACGACGCGATTTCTGGAAGTTTCGATGCTCCGGAAATATTAACAATTCTTGAAACAACTCTGATCTTGTTTCCCACGCGCTCAGTCAACAAAAACAATATTACGACATCCTTCTTAAAAATATCGATATTTCCTTCTTTAGATTACTGCCACGTTTTTTTTTGTAAAAACAAAGAGACCCTCGAAATCCTCTTATTGCCGTATGCATCCTATTTCCTACAACATTATCTTAACCCCTTCCGTAGCACGGACGCACCGGTGTGTCCAGCCAAAACCATGCTGTAAGTGGCACGGTTAAACATTTAGTGAATTTCTATATTTTGACCTCAAATTCGGCTTCAGCGACCAAAAAAACTGAAGTATATAAATTATTGAAAAAATCCGCCCCGTTACTTTTTGTGGGGCGGTTTCAGTACATTTTATTGAATTTTGCTCTGCCACGGAAGGGGTTAAGACACTGCCACGCACTCTTGACCCCCATCTCTAAAAAACATTCGAAGCACAGTCCTATGACCATATTTCGGCATGAAAATTAGATTTCCGAAATAATTCCCCAAAACTCCACTCTCTTAACTGAACTGACATTTTGAGAAAAGCCAAAAGGCCAAGACACTTCTCGACAGACCAGCAGCCAAGACAGAAGCTCCTCTTCAACATCCCTTCAGGGTGTTCTAACAATCTAGCCTACTAGTGGCTGAGACAGATCAGTGTTTCTCCAGTCTTTAATTATTCCGTGTAACGATCTCGTGCATTTTTAGACCATCGTGAACAATCCAGCGGGAACCAGCTTCCTATTCTTGACGCAAAACTTGGGTCATCCACCCTCACCGACACGCAGCAATTACACTTTTCATTTTCGACAAATAGCACCAGCAGTAAGTTATTTATACTTTCTTTTGCCTGAGTGACCTCTTTCTTTTCATTTCTCTTCTTTTCTTCTCTCTCTTTTCTTTTCCTTTCCTTTTTCTTCCTTTTTTCTATCTCCAATGGCATTCCTCCTTAATTGTGAAATCCGGTGTCAGTGGCCCAGTCTTGTCGATCTCAGTCGGATATAACGAACACGGAATTT